CCCCGATGAAAGTTACTCCAATTGAAGACAAGATATAGCTGTAGCTTAGATAAAAATAATTTTTCAGATACCTTTTACGGTTTTTACTCGGCAGTCGTTTGTTCGGAGGGGTGCTTTAGCAGCTTAAAGGTGAGTGAGAGTGTGATGCTGCAGTTAAAACAAAGGGAGGAGCAGGTGGGATTAGCCATTTTGTTTGTGCTTCGTTTTGGGTTGTGAAAGACCTACAGACATGAAAGTTACCCCAGTCTGAGACAAAGGATAGATGTTGCTTTCACTGAAAGAATTTCTCAAATACCTTTTACGGTTTTTTCTCAACAGTCGTTTGTTTGGAGGGTAAGAACCTGGAAGCTAGCTGACAGTTAGCTTCTGCAGCAGCCTGCTGCAGTGGAGCAGGCTGTCGTTTTTTTTAAGATAAAACATTTTGTTCTTGCCTCACGGCCACATATTTGGAGCTACAGTCACCATTTTTGGTCAGTTTGTAGGCTGAAACCTCTGGACCCACACAATGTCTTCAGAATTACGGTAGGATTAATACTTTTCCTTAAAAACTCTCCAGACCGACCTAAAGTCGATGAAAATCAGAGCATTTTTCCATTGGTTTTGGAGCAGCAGTGGGGAGAAAAACGAATGACATTATATGTTTTAAACTCGTCATAAATATTTTTCTGAATGACACACATACACCAAAGTTGGCATAGTTGGAGTCGAAGGATCGCTGACGCTCACGGTGAAGAAATTTTTTGAATAACTCATACGATTTTTGCTAAGCAGTCGTTTGTTCGGAGCTGTTGCTCCCATTCAAAAAAGCCTGAGAGCTAAGGAACGATAGTGCTGCGCTTTTCTCTCTGTCACTGACAGGCTCGTTAAGCGTTGTCAAGGTAACCGTGCTTCAAAGAGATTTTACCTCTGCTGTTTTAAACAGCACATATTAATCCAATGGAGGGTGAAAGCACTGATTTAACATTGGGAAATGCATACTATATGACTGCTGTCCATGACACTTCCCTTGCCGCTCAACACTGATAGACTTTCAAAATAAGACTCCAGGGACCCTACAAAATAAAAGCCTCTATATTTTTTACATATATTTATTGCCCTATATGGCTCAACATTATGACCCAAACTCAACCCCATTTTAGAGAATACACTCTAGGAGACTGTTTAAAACACGCCCTATGGCAAATTTCAAAATAAAAGCCTCCCATTTCCGCTTCATCTACTGCCCTAATAACATGGAAAAAGAGTGATTTAACGATTGGAAAGTCATCAACTATCATTGCTGGGTCTGAACATTTTCTCTAAACACAACTCTGTTGGACTTTCAAAATAAGACTCCAGGGACCCTACAAAATAAAAGCCTCTAGATTATACTAATGCAATAATTGATGCAAATGGCTCAACATTATGACCCAAACTCTTCCAGGTTGTTTTTATTAGACTCTAGTGACCTTTTCAAAACACACCCCAGAGCAAATTTCACAATAAAAGTCTCCCATTTACTCTGTAATACAGCAGCTATTCACCTAATAACATGGAAAACCAGTGATATAACATTTGGAAATGGATTCTATATCACTGCTGGGCATGACCCATCTTTTGATGCACATCCATGATAGACTTTCAAAATAACACTACAGGGACTCTACAGAATAAAAGCCTCTTCCTTATACACACTCAATACATTCTGGCATATTGCTCATAGCCATTTGTAATTTCATCACTGCAATGGCTCTGAGCATGCGGGCGGATCCCGCCATTGGTGATTTCATCACTGCAATGGCTCTTAGAAGGCGGGCGAAGCCCGCCAATGGTGATTTCATCACTGCAATGGCTCTTAGCAGGCGGGCAGAGCCCGCCATTGGTGATTTTTTTCATCGCTGCAAGGGCTCCTAGCAGGCGGGCAGAGCCCGCCAACTGCGCTTTACCCACTGCGGTTCAATATGGACAACCCATATTACCCTTGTGCATCATATGTTGTGCACGTCTATTTCCCAGATTTCAGCACAAGTGGCACACAGCTCTCTTTGCCCATGACCTAGCCCTCTTTCCTTCCCTCAGCAGCCCTCAAAGGCGTAAGCAGTTGGTCTGGGGAGCCCCAATGTCACTTGCCAGGGCCGTATTGGCCCAGTTACCCAGACGGGCAGTAGGTGGCCCCCCTCAAAATTTCTTTAGAAATTTTCTAGTTCATTTTAGTATGGCATTAATTGCTGTAATTATGTTACTAAAAATAGAATTGATTGGGAAATGCCATTTTCCAGCTTTTTCTGTGGTTTGATATACTCCACAGCACTAACTGAATTTCCTACTGCATGAAAACTAATGACATCAGATTTGATATATATATATATATATATAGACACATCCAAGGTACATAAAAATACCATGTCTACCATGACCACCATAAACGATCAATAACCTTAGTGGGCTACAGCATTAGATACTGCATTAGGCACCAGTGTTTTCAGCTTAAGAAAGGACACTAAGGATAGGATTCGTTAATATGAGACTGCAACAGACTAGAAAAAACAGTAACTTAAATCATGAGTTTTGATGATATTGGTACACTTTGAAATAAACAACAAAGAATGCAGCTATTATACCGATTAGTCAGTGGTTAAAGCTGTCTGTGTGTAACAGTGTGGGAGATATTATCTTGCCCAAAAACCAGGACCTTTTCATAAGAAATTAAGCAATATTTGAATGCCACAGCTCAGATTAGTGTTATTGTTTCTGACCATGTCCTTCCCTTTTTAAGGCAGCATATCTATTGTCTTATAGCTGCTGCAAGGGAGATAATGCACCTTATTACAAATCCAATGCCTATGCTATCATGTCCCTGGGGCCCAAAATGGTTTCTGGTACTTGGTTGAATCTACGGTAAAAGCAAAAATTGAGGCCATAACCTGGTTCTAGCAGGTGGGATAAAAAGATAGCCAGGAAATAGCCTGGCTATCTGCCAGACTTGGGAGGCCATTCTGCAGGGGCCTCTTCAAAACATGCTGATTTAGTTTGCTAAACATATGTAGTAAAAAAAAAAAAAAAAAGCATTAATATTTAAGACTTGTGAATGAAGCTACTTTAACCTATTTGTGTTCTGTTTGATGAAAACAGTTTGCACTTTTAAAAGAAAGTTATGTTTTAAAACCTTTTTATTCAAGTAGCAAAACCACAAGAAGTCAAAAGGTGTCTTGGCCTCTAAGAAATATAACACCGACGTTGCTTTTGTCCTTCTGCAGAGATGATGGCAAAGAAGGCCTAAAGTTCTACACGGATCCATCATACTTTTTTGACCTATGGAGGGAAAAGATGCTGCAGGACACGGAGGACAAGAGGAAGGAGAGACGGAAGCAGAAGGTACGTTCAGACTTTTCTTTTTTTATTGCCTCTATAGATGAGAGTCTCTGTAGAGTAGTGGAGTTTGTAATCAGGATGACTTGAAGTGACTGAAGAGGCTTCCTGTGTTTTCCACATTTCTGCATGAATTTACCAACAGGGTGACTCACTAATAGATTTGCAGCTCTGCTCCATACCACATCGTCTCTTCCATTAATTAGTCACCACTCAAAGATAAATCAACGGTTCCCTCCGTCAACCCTGTTAGTTATTATTTGGGTGATCATTAGATCTAATTAATGGGAGCATCTGCTTCTTGTATGGCCCCTTGTATGCATCAGTTTTCTCTTTTCTGCAGACGTGTGTGAAGGGGGATACTCAAACTGATATCTTCTTAGCTATTTTTTTTCTTTTTTCACAAAATCAAATTAAACAAAGGATTGTTAAAGCTTTTAAAAAAGCCTCTACCTATTACCGGGTGGAGGGGCTCCAAACCAAGGGGTTTCCTACCCTATATGCCAGAAGGTCTAATCAACCCCAGCTTTCATTTCTCTGCGTGGGAAGTGGCTTCCCATTTTTTTTCCCCTCGCAGTCAATCAGAGCTTATTACAGTCACGGTCAGAGGGAAGCAAAGCAAATGTTTTTTCCACTGAGGCTTTATTTGAGCACAGAGGATATAATTGGCCAATTATGAGGTTTTTAATGAATATGTTGAACGCATAGAGAGGACAAAGTTCTATCAGGTCTCAGGGTTCAGTGCAGCGATTCTTGATTTGTTTATTGTATTTTATTTGGCTTGCATTCGTTTTTTTCTTCAGTTTCTGACAAAGGACAAGGGAAAGTCATTTCTAACATTAGGTAAATCTATTTTCTTTTAAAAGAGGTTTAGGTTAATCTCACTGCTAGTAGAAAAAGCTAATTTCTCAGATTTTAATCTAATTAAAGCCTCAGGTGGGCTAGGCTTATAAACCCATGTTCATTTCCCCTCGCCGCTGCTGTTGAAGTTCAATGGACCCCATGGAAAAGGCTAGAAGACATTCACTGGGGGGGAAATAATGATAGAATGAGATTTATGTGTTTATAGCTGCTTGTTTGTGTTGCCATCATGGATAAATGGTCTGAGTGAGGATCAGTGGAAATATATCCTGGAAAGGTTATAAATGACAATAGAAGACTGCAACAATCCTTTATTTTAGGCTTGTTTACTTTTAAACTTCACTGCTTCATGTTGGTATTTCACAAAGTTATGGCATTTAGTTCTCTGTGCATCTCTATTTTTAGTATTCATTCATTTTGGAGATTTCACATATATTTTTTCTAGAAGCACTTCCATTGTTGCTTTAAACTACACAAAAACAGGCTTGTGGTACCACGCATGCATGTCTTACATCTTGCAGCCTTCCTCTTAGGGAATGTCCATTAGGGGATATGTGATATATAGGATATATAATATAAAAACTAAAAATTTTTCGTTAAGTACTGGGTCTGAGTAAACACGCTCTAGTTTACCCCATGCCTCTTATGCCGTTCTCAGTTTTATTGCAACCCTGATAACATTGTGTATTGGGATATAAAATGAATCATTTTCAATTGCAATAGCTTATTTTCAAACTTACAAAACCTGTCATTTCCAATATCATTTCAAATCATTATGAATTAAGAATTTATAGCCAACAGCAAGAAAACTATTGGATAAATAAAGCTTATATACATTTTCTATCTAAATTAACAGTAAAATAGCCATGCAAGTTACATCTATTTTTCACAACCCTCGTGCTTTAGAGATGACTAATTTCCAGCAGGCTTACTTACTTATAGGTAGTCTAAAACCAGATTTAATATTACATATAGACACATGGATTAGGAGGCAGTAATAAATGAGAAACAGCAAAGAACAGGACTGAAGAGAACGTGGAGCTGAGACGGCTGCTGCGCCCTAATCTCATTAGCTTCTGTGTTAGCCTCATCCTTAGTGGATTAGCAGCAGACGTACTGCTGAATGAGTCAGAGGAAGGGAAGATGTTCGTAGTCAATTGCTGAAAGATGAATGGAAGAAGAATAGCTTGGACAGAAGCTGGAACAAAGATCACGCTCCATCTCTTTGACAGTAGTGTCTGGTACTCAGGTCCTGTTTGACATCAGAATCCCTGCTTAGGTTCCCCTTTGCTCCAGCCTAATTCCTATTGACCATCACTGATATTAAAATTGTTTCCCTTCTCTTTACAGATGTATGCAAAAGAGACAAGGACATTTTCCGCTATTCAGTATAAATTGCCATTCCATCTTAAGTCAAAAATTGTTGTCTTTGCTATAATTATGCAGAGAAAGCTCATTCTACATGTAATCAAAGCTGACAAATATTTTTAAAGCAACTTTGGGCCTCACATCCAATGGGACTCCAGTTCTCCAATTTTCAGTAAAAATCTATTTTCCTTTGGTTGAAGTATTCAATACATCCTCTCATTTTAGGATCTGGTTGAATCTTCGATGAGACTGCTTTGTTCTCTGAATTTTATTTGACAACCTGACATAAAAGTTAAACTGTGCTTGGAAGATCATACATATTTGGTTCAGGTAAAGTTGTTTGTTTTTATTGTTTAGTAGGGCACAAATAACCAGGTGTTTGGTTATAAAGATCCACTCTGAGGTAAGAGACGCACAAGGTTTATTTAAAGCTTTGCGATTCTATTATAAATTTAGAGACCCGGAAAAAACCTATAAACCATTGCTTGGGTATTTAGTTCAAGTCAAAATATGCCATTCACACTGTTATTGACCAGCTTGCTGTATAAGAGGTAAAATTTGCATGATAAAAAAAAGTACAAAGCTCAAATATTTTTATCTCTGATTACAGTAGCCTATTATCACACTATGTAAATGTTAGAAGTTCCCAGCTTTTAATTTGAGTCCCCTTGCTTCAAGCTTTGAATGTAACCTAAAGCACTTAACAAAATAAAACATAAAAATAATCAATAAGTCCATAAATCAGTGGACAAAGAAGTGCACTTCATTAAACAGGTTATGTCTGTCTAATCATTTATTGTGTTTTATTTCCAAATCTCACTCTTAACTCTCCATAGTATGAGATAATGATACTGCAGTAAAATAGCAATTAATCTAAAGGCTTTTTAAACTTTACCAGTAAATTTTATTTAATAAAGGATCTAGGAGGTTGATATTTTGAAAAATAACAATAAAGAAAATTAAATGTGCCAGTTTGGTTTTGCTCAGATACTTTTTCCCACCCATGTAATTATAGATGAATCTTGTACTAAGTGTTGGACTATTAATCACTAGGAGCTGAAAAAAAACGTTTCCTTTTGTTAATGGGTAAGCCTGGTGCAGTCATGTTAATGAAAATTATTATCCTCCTGCTGCAGAGCAAGCATGATAATCATTCAAATCAGCTAAAGTAAAAAGAACCGGCTTGTACAATACAATCCTGGTAATTAAAATAAGGTTGCAAATGGACTGTGTTGCATTTAAAGATCTGAATAAAACAAGAAAGTTTCTTTCATTTAATCAGAAACGTTCTCCGTATTTTAATTCTGTAAATGTACTTAACAGGAGGTTAGGATGACATTTTATTATTTTATATTAGAATGAGAACATTTCTTTTACTGCTGTTTGTCCTGCATCACCATAGAGCAGACATGTCAACCTCAAGGCCCACCAGCCGACAATGCAATTACTGTATAACCAGCCCAACTAATCCCTTTATGTATTTAACATTGATTGCCTCATACCAATTGCAGTGCATTACGCATAATTCACCACAACAGCCATTTAGGCCTATGATGTGAGTCAATAAGCTGCAGTTTTTGGACATAGGTCTAAAAAAGAAAGTTACAGCTCTTTTTGGTATGCCAAGCAGTGACAAACCAAGTCAGAGAGGCAAACTGGCCGATTCTGGCTTTTAAGTGCAAAACATTTATTTTCAGCTTTTCTAAAACCCATTTGCTTTTGATGCAGAGAAATCAGTTGCTAAAGTTGTTAATGCCAGAATAGAAGCCAATAATGACCCAGTCTGCACCCAAAACAGTTTTTCTCCTTCATCGCTAAGAACCTTTGACCTGGCAGTGGCTAGATTGCTATGTGTAAAACTGAGTTGAGTTCTATATTATCAATGTGAGATGGCTGCTGTTCAGTCTGTCCGTGAAAAGGCAAGATGTTTAGTATTATACTTGGAGCTGATTGGGTGACGTGGCAGCTAGTTACCACCTTCACAACTAGCGGAGTGAGCTGACAATCAAACCTTTTTCCAAATCCCGTTGGAAGAAAAACACGGACATCTTTCCAATATACAAATGCACAAACTGCTTCTCTTTGCTCCTTTAAATCAGAAATTGACGCTATTTTAGCCAAAACCGAGCCAATTGCGGTACCGACAGGTACGTCTCCAGCGTAGCCATGTTTGTGATGCCCCAGCAAGACCCTTCTGACTGTCATCATTCCTACATGTTCCGCCCCAAAAAACATTGCTGGCATGTCATTTTGTCCGACTCGCAGTTTGTTAGGAGAAGGAAGTATTAGGGGGAGACTTTCAAGATGGATTTGTTGTGAGACTGAAAACTCAGATATCGCAAGAATCCAGCTTGATGCGCAAGGTTATAAGAAGATGCCCCAACATTGACATCATAGATGGTGGCAAAATGAAAAGTACCATTCACAAAGTTATTCTAAAGGCCTGAACATACCCGACAAAATGTAAAGTCTGTTAAGATTGTACAATGTCATAGCAATTGCACCTCATAGAAGCGCATGGTACTGGACATGGTTCTTTGCAACTTTTCTTGCGTAGCTCCAGTCAAGGTAGATCCCTGGTCTATTTTGGTGGGAATAAGAACACTTTGACTGGAGTGACATGACTCAAGCAGTGACAGAGGCAGTGACAGTAAAGTACAGCCTATTTAGGGAAATTACAAAGTAAAATCTCTGAATCCAACGGTAACCAACCAGGTTGGCCCAAATATAGGTTTGTCTAGAAAAACGGTGCGTATACAGCAAGCGGTGCAGAGTCAGACGTACCCCGCCAATAAATAACAATAATAAGCAATGTCCTTTACCCTTTAAGAGAGCTCAGAAGTACAGAAAACAGATATTTGAAATAGATCTTTGGGCTTTATTAGAGCAGCAAACTCAAAGATTACTACCCTGCTTATTTATGCTGGAATGCTGGTCATTTCTGAGACAATGCTTCACATGAATGTGTGGTGGTGTGTAGTGGGAGCATGCATGTAGCCATATTTGCATCAGAGCTTGCAGAATGGGATGCAAGCCGTGTGTTCTGGCCTCTACTGATGCACAGCTCCGAAGGAGCTGATCCAAGTTTCCGCAGCTGAGACCCTAACGGCACACATTATTATTAGCAGACTTGTTTTTGTTATAAAACGTTTTTACCTATCAGACATTAACTGGCTTGGGATGCTTAAATGTTCGTCAATCAGTGCAGTCAGTGATTTTTTTTTTTACTCCATTTCTCCCTTTATGTGTCTAAAAGAAACATTTAGAAACGCTATAAGCTCTTACTGCTTCATTTAGTTACAGTTTTACTTTTACTTTAAGTGATAATGCTCTCATCCCACAAGATGAAAATATCAGTAATATCAGGAAAACAAGCAGTAATTATTTATTTTGGATGTCTCCTCGCATGTTTTCTTTCCTACCAATCTTTATATCTTTTTACTCATGTTTATATCTGGTCTTTATCAAACTGTATGCAGCTGGAAATGCCATATCTTCTGTGTCCCAAGAGTCTTAAAAGAGTCCTCTCTGAAACCCCTCCTCCTTTCCTTACTCCCCCAGAGGTAAGACTGTCTGCCTTCTCCTCACTCCATCAGAGCATCTGCTCCCTATGCAGCAGCCTGCAGCCTTCACTCTCCCACAACTAACTCCCACCAATTTCAACCCCACTCAAACCCCCACCCTCCTCCTCCACCTTCTGGTTTGCTCCTGGCAAGTGAGCTGAGCAGTTCCAGCCCGACACTAACAGCCCTCCAGCATACCTGCATCCCACTTCTACCTTTGGGATCAGCCTGGCAGTTCTAGACATTGATTACTTTCAGTGATTTATCTTCCATGATGTTGTAAACATAAGACCAACAGCTGTGGCCTTAACAGGAATCAAAACTCAGTGTGCCCATTCATTTTAGTTTTATTTTAAGAGTGATATAGATTATAAAATATTACCTAACTGATAAAGTAAAGGGAGTAATTCATTTTAGAGTGGATCATGGGTTTTTGTCAAAATTTGGTATTTGGAAATGCAACCGTTTAGAAAACTCTTAGCTTATAACTAAACATAATAAAACTTGATTTCCAGCAGAACATTTTTTTGCCAAAGTAACTTTCTGCCTTTTTTGACTGAACAGTTTACTTTTGGTTGGGATTTTCTGAGAAATATCATATGCACAATTTCTTCTTCTGATCGACTGGGCTTTCAGCACCGTAGAGCAAATTTTAATAGAATTTAACCCCTGGACGCCCATTATGCAGTCATGTAACAATCCCTTTGTATTAAAAACAGCCAAGATAGAATGTTCATTCCCTCAGTGCCAGTTATCAAACATTCAATGACGACCTAGAAACCTTTGGCAAGCTCTCGTTTCTATTGCATCTGGTTCCTAACGGTGAATGGTATCATTGACCATTATAAATGTCTTAACAAATTTTTTATATACCTTAATTTTCTAATTATCTGTAAAATGAATGGTAACAATTTCTATTTCTCACCTACTTAAATGTTAAAAACCTTTATATATACATGTATATGAATTTGGCCATCAAATGGTTAAAATAATGTGTTTTCTCTTCATGTTTTTTGCTGTTCTCTTCCATTAGAACTGTCATATCCGAGCTTGAGGGGATCAGGAGGTCATGAATACCAAATAAACAACCATTGCTATATAAGAGTGTTTGGTTTAAAGGAAAACATGAAGACATGATGCATAGAAATTAATCAAAAACAATGCTTAATTAAGTTTTAAAATGATATAATCTCCACAGCTTCAGCATCCTGACAGCGAATGTAAAATGTCCCCTTAGGATTCCCTAGTTAAACTCTTCCTGCTCTTAAAAGAGGTATATTTTCCCTTAAAGAGGGAAAAGCAGTAGCCCATGACGTCACTGAGCCGCTACCATGCTTTGCTACAGGCAAGGTTTTCTTTACGGTGTGTATTACTTCATCCAAACTGTGTTGCTGATAAATATGTACCCTGAGTTCCAGTTTCTTTGTGGAAGCAGCTTCTCTCCTCTTTCAGCCTAGTCCAGGTGAAGTTAACCTTTCTAGCAAGAGTGATAATGTGTAGTAGTTCCACACATTATTAAATCTGTTTGACAGCAACAACTTAAATGGCAGCAGACGCCATGAGAAACCACACACTTGTGCTTTAATGCCCTTGCTGTTCGCCTTACCAAGATGAAATCACGGATTCTCACAAAGAGCATTTTATGTGTACTTGCACCTGCACTGCCATGTAGATTTTGGTTTAAGCTATGGACTCAATGGCTCTTGCTTTTCTCACAGCTGTATGTCCTGCCTTAACTCATACTGCGATGTGACTAGTCAGCCTGTTTTTGTTCTGTCTGAAATGACATAAACTGGAGTGGTACAATATTTGTGAATTTAAAAAAATACTGCAGGAATTCAGCTGGTTGGAATTGTTAAGGAGGACAGGAAAAAATCTAAATCTAGATAAGTCATTATTTCTTAAAATAAGAGCATTTGTTCTTGAATTAAGAAGCTAAAAGAGGATTTTGCCAATGGATCAAGACAAAGTAGATTTAAAATAAGAAAACACAATTCTATTGTCTTATTTTAAGTGCATGTTATCTAATTATCTCATTTTAAGAGTAAAAATACTCATTCCATTGGCAAACTACATCATTTACCTACTCAAATTAAGGGTAAATACACTTAATTTAAGAAATTTGAACTTATTTCTAGATCGTTTTTCCAGTGTGTTTCTTTAATATCAAACTTGCAAACTATACATCCAGTTGTATCTCTGGGAACATTTGGGGCTTTTTGATATCTTACTGTATCCCTCTTCCAATGAGATGACAAATTAAACCTTAGACTTACCTAAGATCCTGCAAAAGAAAAAAAGGGCTTTTAACATATTCCCACAGGTTGTTTTTTTTTTTGGTTCATATGTGTGTGGAGGACATTGTGTAGCAACATAGAGCCCTATAATAAGAAATCCACCCTTTGCTTCAGTTGTATTTTAATTGAATTAGAAACCATTTTAAATCCAGCAGATCAGCAGCAGCCGTATGTTTTGTATTGTTTGAGAGCATTGTGTTGTCAGCAGCAAGGTGGCCCGTTGACTGCAAGCCTCCACAGGCCTCCTTTTAGGGGGTTAGATAGAAAGAAGCATTTCTGCTGAGTCTGTCATTAAACCACAAACTCATCCACACATGCTCCTACTTTTCAAAGCCTGTGTGTGCACAGGCTCACAAACAAACTGAAATACATAAATTGCATTGCTGTGTCTCACACACATAGCTCCTTTGGTATTACCAGTCCATTCTTGTGAAAGATGATGGCTCCTCTGAGCCACAAAGCTCAGTGAAATTGGCTACATTTATAACTGTGACAAACATGCTCACACTTACACACAGCTTCTCATCCTCAATTGTGTTTCCACACCTCTTGGTTGGCTTCTATAGATTGTGTTTCTTTTATTGCCACTGTAAAACTTGCACTATGAAGATCTGCACACACACATAGTGGTATAGATTTTCTTATATTTGAGGAGTACTCCATTTGTTTGCTTAGTATCTCCCTATATTCTACAAGCCAATTTAGTGTAGAAAGACAAACTTCTAAAGCTATGCAAGGGTAATTCTGCATCAGAAACCCAGAGGATTGTTAATGCCATGCACTGGAAGAACTGTGCGTTTCTGATACATGGTTGCTTTTCCATTTGGGAAAACATTGCAAGGTAGTATGTGTCTGCATGTCTCACACATAGATTTCCCTTTAACAATCACCCCATCAGTGACTAATGTGCAATGATAAATGAGAAGCTAATCAATATGCATTAGGAAGTATCCTTACACCCGCTGGCTGGCAGCGGCAGTGGACAAAGTCAACATCGTTTAGCTTTGCCAGAGGAGCGGATGTCTTCAAACCACGATGTTGAATCATCTGCCTGTCAGATAGCGTGTTACATTTGAAGATCCACACAGTCAAGCATCTACAAATGCATCCAGTATCTCAAAACAATACCAAAACAGAGGAAATGAAATGACATATAAAGTGTTTCCTCATATATAGTGCCTTATTTATTTCAATTCCTTCACATTTTGTTTTTACTTCTTCAGAATTTAATATATAGTGATTGGAGTTGGAATGATGAGCCTGCACAAAACAGTACTTTATAGGGGAGTAGAAAAATAGAGATGAATGATTTTCACATTTTACAAATAAAACATTGAAAAGTTTGCTGTTTAGTTATTTCCCATTCTTCTTGTCAAAATACTCCAATTGAGCAATGTTGGATGGAGAGCCTCTCTGACCAGTGATTGTTTTTAATTTAATTCAATTCAGTTATACTTTATTAATCCCCAAAGGGAAATTCGGTTTCAGTACAACACGTCCAACAAGACAAAAATATACAGAAAGATATTACACAAACATATACATGAGGGGGATGTGGTGGTTGAGGCCTTGCTGCCATAAAGGGTGCTGCCCTTATAGTAAGAAAAGAAAAAAACACATTTCATAGTTTGTCCTTAGCAGGATAAAGTTTGGGACTGCTAAAAAAAAATCCCAGCACATTAGCCAAAACAGAAACGTGACGATCAAGAAGGATGAAAGGTGGGTGTATCATGTCTGAGCTGCGTGTGTACAAAGTAAGTCCATGAAGCACAAGGTCAATGTCCTTGACACATGTAACAGTTCATTATCTGACCCAAAAAGGCAGCTTTACATATGTCTTCATAGGAGGGAGGGGGCCAGAGGACAGAGCCTCATATTTACATGTCAACTGAACTATTAACTGTTTTAAGACATGGGCCAGTTTTGTTCTAAACCCTTTCCTTGTAATGTTCTTTTCCTTATTAAAGAAAGGCTTCCACCAGTCTGGAGTCTTAGTGTTTCACTCCATTCTCCCTCATCAGTTTCTACCAGCTTCCCCGTTTTCACTGAAGAAAAAGCCTTCCCACAGCATAATTCACGTTTTGGCCTTTCTTAACCAGAGAATCATGTTTTCTGTGTAGACTACATATCATGGGGCAAACAAAGGTTGGGAGTCCTTATAACATTCTTTCAATACTTCAAAAGCCAAATTTTAGGGGTGGAGAACATAATCTCTGACATTAGTGCTGAATTTCAGAAGCCATTCGGAGTTTGCAAGTTTCTCTTGGAAACTCCTCTGGCTAGTGGTGTACTAACCTGGTGCCCAATATATATGGAGCTTAGGATATGTTTTTTCTTGACTAAACCTTGTATAAATTATATCCACTGCTTTATTCCTTATCTGCCTGCTTTATTCCTTGGTCTTCATGAAGATATTTGATCTGAAACCTCTCTGGCTTTCAAATAACTGCTTATTTTTTACTAAGTTCACATAAAATCAAAGTGTAAATACAAACTTTCCCTGTTGTTAATTTAAAACCTAAGTATAACTTCCCAGTGAAAATCTTCGCTTTGAAACTGGGTTTCACTTTGAGTGGGCAGTAATTAAACATTATCATACGATACTCACAGGCTAAAGTTACTAACGACTGATCTCCTCTTTTGATTTCTGAGGAAAATTTTAGTTTCCTTTGTTATGAAGAGCACAGCCAATCCCACAGCAATGTTCTGTCAAAGCAAAGATCCGTGTAGAACAAACCGTCAGGATCTGCAGCTGAAGAAAATTTGAATGTTAAATGTTTGTTTTGAAAGGAAATGTTTAGTATTTTGTTTTAGAATAGAGTCTATTGCTGTTTCAGGTTTCCGTATCTTTTATGAAATATATAGTTGAAGGAAGAAACTTTAATCTATTTTTGAAATAGGAATGTCTTTTGTGATCAGAATGGATTTAATCCGGTTGCTTTTCCAGAGATTAGAGTTTGAATGTTCTGCAGAGTTGAAACTGCAGTATTTGATTTCTGTCTTTTAATTTTCTGCCTGTCTGCTATTTTCGCATGTCCTTTTTTGGTTGTGCATGTCTTCAGCTGGTGCTGCCATCCTACCTCTGAGTTGATCTTACTCTCACATAGACACCCATTCTTCCAGTTTATTTGCCGTTTCCACTGCACTATTTCCTTTTCTGTCTCGGATGTCTTTCTTGAGTGAAGCTTGGCCCTGTTTTCTCCATGTTTGTTTGGAAGTGTGCGGGAGGCTGTTTTTATCAGTGTGTTTCTCTGCTACCTGCATTGTGACGCCAGACCCTCCCCTCCCTTTACATGCTGTCATTTTCTGTTCAACAGCACTTTTCTTTTTCTGCGGTTTCTCTTTTGTCTCTCTTGTTCCCACACACACATGAATATTGTCCCTGTTCACTGTGTAAGGCAGTGTTGTGCTGGTCGCTGTGCCATTTTTTTTTTTTTTATTTGAGCCCCCTCCCCTCACCCCTGGTGCTTTTGTTTTTTGTTCTTGTAGTTGCAGGACCCCCGCATGTATGATCAGGTCTATAGGTACTTAGACCTTCCAGGGCAGGTATGTGAAAGTATAAACTAACTATTTTAAAATACTGTGTGTGATCTTTTCTTTAGCATCTCACCACTTTCTTTACAGCTCTGTGTGTTTAAACTATTTCTGCATAAGTATTGGGGATAGAGAGTGCTGATCGATTAGGAAGATATCTCAAGATTAGCCTGTTTTTACTGACTCAACACTTTCATTTTGTTGTCTAATGAGTAGTTTCTGAGGTGTTTTTTTATTTATTTATGTAAAACAGTTTTATTTACCATCTCTTCTTTAATAAAAAGACTGATTGGAGCAACTTAAACAAGTTTCTAATTAAACACATATGCAATGATATGTTTAAAGAAGGCGAAGTTGAGAGGGATATTTATGAATATTTGGTTTGGGGGCATTGGGAAAAAAAATCTCAGTTCCGCTTGTTATTGTTGTCAGGTTTTGGTTTTTCTTTTGCAGTATAACATCTATCAGCTTTCCATCTATCAGCTAATCTTTTGTCATTTCTTCCTGTCTTTTTTTATCATCCTTAAATCATCTTTTGGCTTTTAAATTCACCCCTCCTACTCATCTACCCCCATCAATTCCCCTCCCGTCGCCCCACCATTGTTCCACTGTTGTCCACTCTGCAACAGATGAAGGCGATTGACCGTCCACCCGAGCCAGAGAAGGTGCCGCGACAGCCTCACGATCGAAAGAAAGAGTGGCAGAAGCTGGCACTGGGGGCAGAGCTCGCCCAGGACATACCAGAGGACAAACACAGGGAGCCCAACGGGTCCACTGGTTACCACGACAGCAGGTGGGCCAATAATGCTGACTTTTCTGCTCTAAGGTCTTTAGGTGTTCAATGGGCATTAGAAATATGTAAATGTGTCCATACATTTATTTTCTATTCTATTTTTAAACTTTCATATGCATTAAATTTCCTTTAAGGTTTTGGATTTCTGCTTTAATTTAAAATATGTGGATTAAGGAAGCTTAAAATTGCAACGTAAAAAAAGTAAGGGATTGAAAAAGTTGCATAAACCGTAAAGATAGTTTTAAATCAAAACTGGAAAGATACTGGACCTGAAATTGAAACTATTAATTTATTTTAGACATTATAGCCTATAAAATTAACAACAGTCTATATTATAACACAAAGCTCTATTTCTACTAGAATGAGTGTAATCAAGATTTAATGCAAACTGTCTTGTTTAGAAGCATCAATTTCCTGTATAGTAAGCATAGAATATTTTCTACTGAGCTTGATAAGAATAGATTTCATGTAAATTGATATGACAGTGTGCCCCATATATGGGTAAATAGCCACCATTTCAATGAGGGACAGATTTAGTTACGGTAGTCTGCCGGAGCGCTGTGTTACAAACAGTTTAGGCACATTCTTACTCATGGAGGAGAAAAACTGTTTATTTTAAAAAGTGTTTTGCACAGCTTTTTCAGAGAAATTTGACTGTTTTTTTCAGAGTATATTGTGAGGTGAAATAAAATGGATACTAGACACTGAAATATTTGCTTATTTTTTCTGTTTGGTCAAACTGAATTGAGAGCCTCTATGAATAACAATTTTCACGTCTTAAGACAGATTCTAAGCTAGATTTAGGTCTGAACTTTTACTTTACAACTTAGACAAACCTGATGATGATGATGATGAGTTGTGTTTCTGCTCAGAGCTGCCTTGTACGTGGAGCAGCTGGACGGGCCCTTCTCGCTGGGAGCGCTGCCCTACACGCAGATGAACGAACTGCTGAACCGCACTGGAGACAGAATGTATTCCCGACCCCACGACCCTCCGCCACCGCCTCCTCCTGGGCACCCGCTGGGCGAAATCAAACCACCCTCTGTGATCAGGTGGGGTGTCAGACAAAACCAAAATCAGCCCAGACGTTTGTTTATAAAGGCTGTTTTTCAGTTTCTTCTGCCCTTTGAGAGATCAGATAGATTGGTCAATCCAACATGAAATATTCTGGCATTTTTCCCCCCCTGAGCAGTTTTCCTCACAGCATTCCTCTACTTTAACTCTCTTCATCCCTGTCTTGTTTTAGGCTGATCTGCCTCTCAGAATTAATTTCAGGTCTTTTTATATCTTCTTCTTTATAACTTCTCATTTGTTTGCTCTCTCTCTTCTGCAATGTTTTAATAGAAAATGTGCTTCATGCCATTTTCTGCCTTTTGCTTTGTTTCTTTTTTCTTTGCAGTCCAGTTTTTTTCTGCAGGTTAAACTATTATTGTTATCTGTTTGGTCTTTGCGTGGCAATGTCCTGGTTCTCAGCTAAGTTCATTTTGAGCATCAGTGGATGGCCAGCATTATGAGGATTTTGTCTTTAATATGGCTAAATGCTGATGGAAGTTGTCTGATAATGTTGAGATTTTAAACAGATTCTGCTGAAATGGTTTCTCAGTCCCCGTAGCACAAGCATTATTGCTCATTTTTAATTAAAAGGAGTTCTGACTTAGTTGAACAAAACAAACAAAGATGTTGACATTTGCTTCCTCCCAAAGGATGGATTTTAGTTTTCCCACAGCATCTAATCAGTTGATTGAGCCGGATTTTCAAAATTGAACAGATGATGTAATCAAATGCAGTCTGTTTGGGCCAAAAGATTCCTATGATTTGTGCTTCATATTTTATCATAAAAAAGCCATACATTTTATTGGGATTTAAATATAAGGCACTGCATAATTGTTAACTGGAATTAAAAATTAATGATTATTTATCCCAAAAAAAAGAGAAAAATCTCAAACCTGCATCCTGCGTCTGAATTCAGCAACCCCTTAGTCAATACTTCATCAATGCTGCTGTTGTTGTAAGATCTACTGTAGGGTTTTCAGGGTGTGCTTTTAATAGCTTAGGACATCTGGAAGCAATTTCCAAGAATTGTTTTAACATGACTATCCCTGCAAGCAAAGCATTACCAAAGGTTAATGCTTCCACCACCATGTTTTATTATTGGGGTGCTATATTCAGAGCAATTTGTATTTTGCATGTAGGCAAAGATGCTCAGTTGTGTTTACATTTGAATACTGTATGAGCTTGTGGCAACAGTAGATCAGGCATTTTGTTGTTAACTCTACAGTAATCCTTCACATCGAGGATGCATGCAGTGACAGTGAAGAGGAAAAACTTGCTTTTAACTGGAAGAAACATCGAGCAGAATCAGGCTCATTATGAGCCCCAATCTGCAGAGGCAGACTGGGGTTTGAGGAGACAGAAGACGATGTACAAAAGGAACATAGAAACACTAATCTATAAACATTTTCTATGTTAGAAAAATCTTTTTCTATGTTAGAAAAAACTTTCACCATCTTTTCCCTGACATTTCTCCTGTGTTCTTAAATTTTCATGATGGTGTTAAGATAAGCTGTATTTGTAAAATAAATACAGCCTTGTAAAATAAACAAAGCCCAATAAAAGGAAGTAGATGCAGCAGTTTCAGGTTGTACTTTGGCATATTGACTTTAAGGTATCAGTATAGAAGGGATAGAAGACAATTATAAACCAGATGTTTTATTAGTTCCAACATGTCCAACAGAGATGGTTTCTCTAACTTTCTTAAGTATGACCAGCCGCTTTGACGTGTTCCAGTCAAGTTTCCGTGCTCACCACAGTACAGAGACCGCCCTTATAAAGGTGTTTAATGACATCTGTATAACTACAGACTGTGGAAGAAGCAGAGTGCTGGTACTATTGGAGCATTTGATACTGTCGATCACTCCATCCTGTTAGAGCGCCTGGAAAACTGTGTCGGCCTCTCTGGTACAGCTCTCAACTGGTTGAAATCATACTTAAAGGACAGGGACTTTTTTGTGTCAGTAGGCAACTTTACATCAGGACGACAGAAATCACATGTGGGGTTCCCCAAGGGTCCATCCTGGGTCCCCTCCTATTCAATATCTACATGCTCCCAGTATCTACATGCTCCCTCTTGCTCAGTTAATAAAAAACAACAACATCACACAGCTTTACATCACCATGTCACCAGGTGACTATGAACCAGTTCAAGCACTGATGAAATGCTTTGAAGCAATCAATGCCTGGATAATTTTCTTAAACTGAATAAAAAAAAAAACTGAAGTAATAATCTTTGGACCAACAGAGAAGAGATCTAAAGTTAGCACACAGCTTCAGTCGCTTCAGCTAGTAACCACTGATCAGGCCCGAAATCTAGGTGTAGTGCTGGATTCAGACTTGAACCTCCAAAAGCATTTAAAGACAATTACAAGGGCGGCTTTCTATCACCTGAAGAACATTTCCAGGAATAAAGGACTGGAATGCACACACTTGAAAAACTAATCCATGCATTTATTTTTAGTCGACTTGATTACTGCAATGGTGTTTTCACAGGTCTGCCTAAAAAGTGGATCAGACAGCTGCAGCTGATCCAGAACGCTGCTGCCCGTGTCCTCACTAAGACTAAGAAAGTAGAGCACATCACCCCAGTTCTAAAGTCCTTACACTGGCTCCCTGTATCTCAGAGAATAGACTTTAAAATAGTAGTCTATAAATCTCTGAATGGCTTAGCACCTAAATACATCACAGACTTGCTATCAGTGTATCAACCCTCCAGACCACTCAGGTCTTCTGGCTCCAGCCTGCTCTGCATACCTAGAACCAGAACTAAACACGGAGAAGCAGCATTTAGTTCCTATGCTGCACTTATCTGGAACAAACTTCCAGAAAACTGTAAAAGTGCGGAAAGCCTGAGTTCCTTTAAATCAAGATTAAAAACACATTTGTTTAGGATTGCCTTCGACTGTTCTAGTTAAACAGTTCAACTGAAACATCATTAGTTCAACTTTTCATTTTTTTAGTCCAACTGTTTTTAATGTTCTTTTTTGTTTCTGCATTTTTTATTGTTTATTTTATTTTTTCCTACTTGCTTTGATTCTGTTTTATTTTCCTATATTTTAATTATGTAAAGCACTTTGCATTGTCTTTGTACTGAATTGTGCTATAAAAATAAATTTGCCTTGCCTTGCCTTGCCTATGTCTGCAAACTGCTGGACACTGACTTCCAAATAAACTCCTAGTAAAATATGTTTTAGTCAATTTGTAGAGTAAAAACTAAATTGAAAAATTATATGTTTTGCTGCAAATGGTCATTGATTGAAAGGGCTCTGTGTGTAAAGAAAGGAAGGTGTCTGTCTGAATAAACCTAAACCACTTTGTTTCCCTCCTTCCTGCAGCTCCAGTTCAGGTTTCTCAGACAGCAGACCTCAATCTCCAGCAAGGACAGCAGGCCTCAACTCCAGCACTCCTCCACCGCCACCACCCCCTCTCCCACCTCCTCCTCCACCCCTGCCCTCATCGGGCCTGCGAGGCACTGCTCCTCCTCCTATTCCTCCTCTGCCAATCCAGCATCAGCCTCCAGCAATCCCTCCTCCCCCTGCTCCGCTTCAGATCGCGCCCGGGGTGCTCCACCCGGCCCCACCACCTGTCGCGCCTCCACTCCACTCCTTGTCTCCAGCCCGACTCCAGCATGTCCACGAAAAGGGCCAATACAGTGGCTCTGGGACCCAATCAGATGGTACCATCTTACCCCCTCCCCCACCACCACCTCCACTCCCTCTTCCTGGAGTGCGAAGTTCATCACCCTGTCCCTCAGGCCCGCCACCTGTGCCGGCTTTCCCCTCAGCAGGAGCCATGGCTTCCCCACCTCCTCATGCCATGCATGATGTGGCTACCAAGAGGCACTATTCATCCAATCTGCCACCAATCAGCGACGCACGCAGCGTACTCTTGGAAGCAATCAGGAAAGGTCAGATGTGTTTTTATGGGTAAAACTTCATAATCAGAGCCATTTCTACTTATTTCGGACTTTCAGGGCTGCAGTTTTTTTATTACACACTTCTTTAAAACTATTCATATTTCGAAAGGCACATGAGTTTTCAATTGCCCCTTGAACATTTAGTTCAAGTTTGTGTATTGTCAATAGTCAGGAAAAGAGAAAAAATATATGAAAATATGAACATATGCCAGCATATGCTCAAAAGAATGATGATGTACCATGAATATTAAAACATTGAACACTTAAAAACACAATGGCAACACAAGACTACATTACACCGACATCTACAGCTTGAATTCTTTAGATTCTTCTTTAGATTTCTTTTAGATTTCTCACTTCTTTAGGTAATAGATTTAAACTTGCATACTACAGAGGGATTTCAAAACATTATTTAGTGAACCTTGACTCTAATTTATAACTGTAGTTGAGAACTGCCTGTGACAAAAACGTGTAGCCTAAACCTGGGTGGACCCCAAGTAAGGCATTGTTTCTGCTTCCCTTTTGACCAGCTTCGTTGCCTAGACAACCACAGATAACAGCCCTTCAATTTCTCCTAACAGTTTTAAAACATTAATGTAATGTAACAGTAAAGACCTAATATAACAGTCATCAGGTCAAATGGTTATTCCCAGTATGCTTTAAAAGCTCCTCAACTACAACTACAGTCTTTTTAAAAATATTTTGCCTAACAGGTTATGTACAAGCACTAATTGCATAATTATGGTTTAGAGTAACTTATTTTAAAAGAAAACCAAATTAACAGAATATGCATTTTCATTGCATACCTTTTTAAATATGATAATATGTTCTCTTAACGGCTTTTCAGAGTCCATTATATGAAATTGCAGTTATGGGGGCTAAATCAAAACTAGATATGGATTTTTTTTTGATAATCTATAAATGTCATTTTATTCACATAAAAAAAAAATGTAGAAGATAATTTCCTGGCTGAGAATCTGCATTCCACTGCAAACTTTCTGGTACTAGATACTGATGTTTGTTTCTATTTTCCCGCTGCAGGCATCCAGCTGCGAAAAGTGGAAGAGCAGCGAGAACAAGAGGCTAAGCATGAGCGAGTCGGGAACGACGTGGCCACCATCCTCTCACGGCGAATTGCTGTGGAGTACTCTGACTCGGAGGATGAGTCGGAGTTTGATGAAGGGGATTGGATGGAATGATAGAGGGCATTGGGGAAAAAAGAGAGCCTTTGATGGTTGTTGATAAAACGTGTTCAGGTGCCCCCGACCACTGACGCTCCTCTGCTCACCGTTCTATAAGAGGGGCGTTTTGATCACTCATATTTTCAGTCTTTTTGGTTTATCTCATCATATCTTTGTCTTGTTGTCGTTTATGTTCAGTGGAAAGACTCCACTTTGCTGTCATTGGTCTCATTATTGTTTCAAGAGTTTCTCTCCTTTTTTGGCCTTCATTCATTTCTGTGATATCCCTCTGCCTGGTTAATCTTGTGATGACCTTTAAGGGTTGAGGAAAACGACATTTTGGAGAACCATTTTGTTTTCTGTTGTTTATCTGTTCAGTAATGTTGGGAAAAAATAGTGAAGGAAAAACAAAGGCATGTTTCATGCATCAGTTTTCCAATATTAGTCATCTGGTGGCTCAATATGGCATTGAGTGAATGCTGCTTTTGTTTTAGTAGCTTTTATAGTCTTAAAACATAAATTGATTTATAAGGCCAGTAGTTTCTAATACTGAGCACTACATGAACAGCTTGAAAACCAGTTGGGTTGGGGTTTTTTATTTTATTTTCTGACATTACTTCAGACAACTTTTTTCTGAGGAAGCATTTGGCTGTTGTGACACTTTTGTGCATATCCATCCATTTATCTTTATTCCAGGGGAAATGTATGACAAGAGTTTGCATCGTTTTCTGTCTGTCCAGGTTCTGCAAAGTAACTTCTGCCATTTCTGAACTCTAAAAAATGAAGTAGAACATTTCTCACAACTCTGGGTTTTTATATCTCTACAAGTATATCAGAGTTCCTGCCTTTTTCATTGTGTGGACCATTAACTTTTACAAAAGGCAGCATTTCTATCAGATCTTCTTCTCCCACTTACTGTGTACCTGTCCACCAAACCGCAGACTATTTCTCTTTTGTACTTCAGAGAAAAAAAATCTGCCTGTTAATGAATTTATGAGGCGTAAAACAGAACATTTTATGCCTTTATTTGGCTCATTGCAAAGTAAATATCTGCCATTGCTCAGTTAGATTTGATTTCTCTTTTTTTTGCCTTTTTCCAACTTGCCTTATTGTTCGTAAAAAACGTATTATTGAGTTAATGAATGTATTGTGCTGTTACTACTTACTTGCCTGCGCTTGTATGGATTTGCTGTTTCTATGTTTTGGGGCACAAAAGGACAGAAAACCTGGTTCAAAGAAAATTTGAAAAAGATTAGAACTTTACTGTATATCATATAACTTATGTAACTGTTGACTATAACAGTTTGCTTGAATTAATAAAAATCTAATGTTATGTTTGAGCTTCATATGTTACATGCTTGTTGTTGAGCCTAATATCAGTTAATACATTTTTAAGATAGAAGAAAACTTGGAGCTGGACAAAAAGGTATAAGGAAACTTTGTGATGGCCTCAAGAGCACTTAATCAGGGTTTCTCCACATCAATGCATTGACATTAAAAATGTTCCCTCCCACATCATGCTGATGGATACAGCCAGCGCTCTTAATCAGGATAACCTTCTTCAATAACAGCGTTTGGTTATGATATGTACAATGGCCTAGGTGTGCAGACTAACTGAATATAAGAGTACTTATATTAAGTACTAAAAATAGATATGAAATTGATTCACAAATCACACAACAGATGCAAAGGACAAAAACTCTGCAAAAGAGGAATGCTGCAGTCACAGCATTTTGTAGCATGGTGCAAACAAGATATATACTGCAAACACATAAATAATTTTAATAGAGATAGCACATTACATGCAAGAGAAATGCTGGAAGAAGCAAAAACTGCAAGTTAAGAAGAGCTGAAAATTAGCTCTGCAAAAGGTGCTCTGGACCACCAGGGGGAGCAATTATTAACCCATTGCTTTGGACCTTCCAGTAGTTCTAGTTTCACCCCAGGGGTTTAAAGTATCTTCATTAAGTGGATCTAATTTGCAAGTTTTTCTTAACTAACAGTTTGTGATACTTCCAGCATTTTTATTTTTGCTTTTTATAATTTTGTGTAACGTATGCGTCTGCAGCAAATATTTCCATTGCATTTGCACTATGCTGTTCCATGTTATGTGATTACAGCAGGTTTTGCTTTTTGTGTATCTTGCATGTTAGTCTATCTTAATACCAGTGGCGGCCGGCCCATAGGGGGCGCTGGGGCACCGCCCTCCCTGATAAGAAGAGAGAAACGTAAAATATATTTTTAGAAATTAACTCATAAATGTCTGTTTTACTCTCTAGACTGTGTAACTATAAGCAAAACAAATTATATAAACTACATTTCCCTATCTACTGTCATTAATTTGTGGATTTCCACAGACAGACTCCTACCGTCTCTGTTCTGGGTGCTGTGATCAGACTGACCCACATTTGCAGAGAATCTGTCAATCATGTACTATTGCTAGGTGAATTTAATGGCCAATCAGCGTCTCGGAACTTTATGGTATTGGGGCGCTGAAAATACTGCGCTTTTACAGGCTTCTCTTCTGAACCCAAGCGCAGGTGCAGACAATTAGAGGGAAGATGGCGAATGTAACGAGCGAGATGCAGCTTCCACCAAATTCGGTGAGATCGTTATTTATCTACCCGTTTGCCAGAAGAACATCCCTGTTGTATGATATGAACATTTCATTTCATGGTTATTGTGACAGTGACGAATCCACCTCGTCGCTTAAAACAACCTCTCTAACTTTGCGCGCCACACACACATTCCTGTTATACTGTGTTTGTGAGGACCAATACACTCGCGCTGAGATCAGTAGCTCCATGAACTTAAAACACACAAGCTGTTCCTGGTTACCTGCTGGCGTATTGAGGGTGCACACTTAATATTTCAGTGGGGTTAGCCGTGTGTGTGTGTGTGTGTGTGTGTGTGTGTGTGTGTGTGTGTGTGTGTGTGTGTGTGTGTGTGTGTGTGTGTGTGTGTGTGTGTGTGGGGGTATGTGGGGGGTGTGGGTGTGTACGTGTTTATGCGGGGACTTGTCATCTTCAGTCTGGCTGCGTCTTTGCTGGGTTCAAATCCAGTTTGGTGTAATTGAATAAGTCAATGAATCTGTGTAAAAGAATTAAGTTGTAAAAATTATTTGTTTTTGTACATCAATTGTTTGTGGAGGTAATATATGGACAAAACTGATTAATGAGAAGAAACCAGAAATAAGAGAGCCTGAGGTGAGGGGCTTAAACTATTTAATGAGGGCTGTGGGAAGAAAAGCGGCAATTTTTGTTTTCTGTTTCTTTGTTACATTGCTGGTAACTGGAGGGAGGCTGAGGCCCAGAGTATCTTGTATATGTTTAGTTTCTTTTGCACCCTGTTTTGAGTTTTTGAGCTCAATAAATCACCAACACCGGTAACCCGACTGAGACTGGATTCTTGGAGGCCAAAGAACCCCGTCACAGTGACCCAAATCATCACTGTTACTGTTATTATATAGTAAATTAAATCATTACTGTTAAATTGTATGTATTGTCCAATTGTTTATTTGAATTCTTATTCCGGGTTAGTTGGAGACATACACTAGGCTATATCAGCCCCACCAAAAATATTTTTCACCAGCCGCCACTGCTTAATACTACATTTTTTGGCAGTCTTACTGATAAATTAGCATAACCTGATTCCAACTTATCCATTTAAGGTTGATGAGTGAGTACAGTGCAATTTGAGGTAAGCATTTTACAGTATATTGGACACAAATGTGTTACCAGGAGCTCAAAAATCACTTCAAGCTTATTTAACATCTGATCTACTGTATATAGTGCCCTCCACAGTTATTAGTCATTGATTGGTAAAGATGGCTAAAAAACCTCCAGTTTAAGATTGTGTGAACTTGTTCTAAGAGGCCCTTGTTCTAGAGTGGTGTTGCATTAAAACAATCTAAATATCTTTGAATGTATAAGCTTATTGTAACAAGAAGAAAAAAAACACCCAAATAAGGCTCACTTTGTAAGGATTTGAAAAATAGCATATGGTGGGAAAATAGCTTTTAATTTGTTCTAAAGAAAAAAAATATTAAGTACATGAAGATATTTGCAACATGAAGTAGCAGATTGTCAGTTGAAAATATAAAATGGTAAGCTGGAGTTTATTACTATCATTTCCCCTATCACCTGAATTATTATGCAGGCGGATGAACCATAAACTTCATCCATTCATGGTCTGAATCAATGTGACTCTTTACAGATATGGTGATAAAATAGGCCTTCATCCAGCCTTTGCCACCATTATAAACTTTAAAATTAAACCGTTTTAGACAAGAAGCTATTTTTTGCCATTTTCCTACTTTTCATGATCTTGACACTTCAGCCTGACCTGGATGAAATTTTGCTTCTATCTTTCCTATTTTAATGAAGAGATCTATATTCCAGAAGATACAATTCTGTAGATTACTAAAGAGGTTTGGAAAAGATCCAGATCTTGGTCTCCAGGAAAAATATGTGAAGGCAGAAATATTAGATTTTTTAACAGTGTTAAAATAAAAGTGCTACAGCTAAATGTGCTGTCACACTTGTGCATTTTCTTGCAACTCTCTGCCTTTTGTCAAATCTACGTGGGTGTTTTTTTTCCTCCCCTATCTAAACACAGGATGTTTCTAAAGTGTTCAGTTTTAATATCCTGAGTCTCCTGCTACAGTTCTTTTTTGTCTCTTTAAAAATTAAACATTTTAACACTTTTCCTATGTGTCACATTACATCAGCACCTGTTAGCTTTTATTGTGATAGGATAGCAGTTTCTAGAGTGGTGATTTCATAAAAAATTTAACACGTGAGAGAATGTGTCTTTGAAACAAGGGGAGAGAAAGTTTAATTTGCCATAAGCGATCTGTTCTTCAATTGATGACAATGAGTACTTATTTATAAAATTAACCGGCATGAAACTGCCAGTGCAAATTATCACTGGTGAACTTAATAATTTCTCTGTTACTGTAGGGAATAACAAACCCCTGGGAAAGTTTCCTCTATGGTCCTTGAGGAGCCTCTGACCCGTATGAAGCTCAGACTTAAGTGTCTGGGAAGAGTGGAATAGATGTTTCCCCTATTAATTTTTCTGCCATTAGCTGACATTGGTTATATAAAAAGGCTTTCTCTTTAAATTACAAGGACCTCTTTGCTTATGATATTCTCTTTCCATGTTTTAAAATTTGCCTTCTGTCTATTTGTAAGTAAACTTAAGCATGCTGTATATTTTTCTTAACAAGAACACATCACCAGAGGCACAGTATTATGCATGTATGTAAAGAGTGAACAAGGGAGTAATGGAGCCAATCAAATTTGCATTTCCTCAGCAGAGGTGTCAAAAACAAAGAAGAAAAACCAGCGATCGATGGTCCAAAAGCAATATGATAAAGGTTAATGTTCAGTAAGGTAGGAGAACTGCCAAGCTTAGGAGTGCATGACCAACTACTGCCAGCGGATGGCAAAGGGGTACAAAAAACAGTTTATGTCTGATGATCTTTATTGGGGCGAACATTCTGTTTTTATGCTAAAAAAAGATTAAGTAAACACAATCGAGATAAACACTTGGCTTATATTGCTTCATTTTAAGATGAACTTGTGTTTTTTTCTTTTTTTTTTATATATATAAAGTATGTCACTTGTGCCTTTTAAAGAGAAATTATGTAGGTTTTCATTAAAAAAGCCTTTTTATTTGACCCTTTACAACTAAAACATTGTTTAATGAGCAGACTGACACCTCAGTAGTTCAACACATCTATAAGCCTGCAGCCTATTTTCCTTAATTTACTTCGGGTCAGAAGTTCCCAATCTGTTCTGCGGATGTTACGTCAAGCATGTCCATGTTGAATGGGTCTGACCTATCAAACAATAACAATCAAAGCCTTGTATTTGTGATGGATTAACTGGATACTCAAAAGGAATGAGCATACGATTGCTGCAGTTCTGTGTTTAGGCCACAGGTGGCAGTATTATTAGAAAACTCTGTAATGCCTGTTTAAAGAATTTGTGTGGGAGTCATCAAAGTTTTGTTGTCTTCAGCTCATGGCCTTCAGCTTATCCTAACAGTTGATTTGGGAATCTCTAATCCTAAAAATTAAATGTAAATCCTTTTATTGACACAATGAGGAAATTCACTCTCTGCATTTGACTCGTCCCCTTGGGAACCAGTGGTCTGCCATTGTGCGGCACCCGGGAGTGTGGGGTTAAGGGTTTTGCTCAGGAACCCAGAGTGGAGGCTATGGGGATCAAATCGGGTACTTGCAACCTTCTTAGTGCAAAAGCGCACTGCTCTAACCAATAGGCCAACACTCCCCATCCCCTAATTTTCTTCTAGAGATCACCCCATAGATTCT